AATTATAGACATGAATATAAGAAGGAGAAAGAGACAGTGCATCTTAACTTTGATTCTCTTCTTTACTTCATCAGATAAATCAATCTTCGCTAGTTTAAGATGTTAAAAATTACTGCACCTATCATAGTTTCTAGTGAATTAATGAAAGTCCCATTGACTCTATCTTGATGCTCTAAATTATTGTTAGAAGTGGTACTTGTGGAAGAATTTGGCCATTTTGCATCACGTGATACCAATGGAATGCAATTGAACTTTGCAATTATTAATCAAAGGTCAACCGTGTCCTACCTCCTCTGATTATTGATAGTCTTCACCCTGTCACACCCATTTAGTTTAAATTTTTTTGTTCAAAATTTTGATCAAATTTTTTCTGCTTTATGGTATGTTGTTTATTTTAGACCAGAACACGTACAACTAATGCATATAAAACGGCACTGGCTGAAGGAGCAATGGATGTTGCTTATTCACGTGTTCTGTTCCTGGGTACTGCTGGAGTGGGGAAGACAAGCTTTAAACGTTCCCTTATGAAGCTGCCATGGGAATGTAACACTACCAGTACTGTCGTATCAGATATTAGTCAAGTTCGTCCATTCACACACAAGTGGCACACATTCAAAGATCAATGGAGAGCTGTATCACATGAGGATGAAATCGAAGAATTAGCTGGTTTAATATTGGCTGTTTATAAGAAAGAACTTAAAGGCTCTAATGCTACTGCATATGCTCATGATGAAAGTTCACAATCTGTCCCAGAAACACATAGCAACATTATTGATAAAGTTGAAAAAATTGTTTCTGATGCTCTTTCTTACATTAAAAGAAATCCCACTTCGCCATTAAAGCCACAGCCATTTCTTCATTTTTGGGACTGTGGTGGCCAGCCGCCTTTTATTGAGATTTTGCCGGTTTTTCTCACTTCTCGTACATTATTCTTTCTTGTTTTTGATGCAGAGAAAGATTTAAAGTCAAACTGGAAATCAGTTATTAATATTGAAAGGGAGAGGGTTGACCAAGAGGAAGTTCACATGACGACACTTGATTACATGCTCAATTGGATGGCTAACATTCATGGTCACCTAATGACATATAATGAAAAAGGAGG